CTGTATTATCCTCCCTCTTACATACTCCCCCTATTTCTAACTGCTCCTCTGTTAAGTTGATGTATTTATACACCAAACTCTGTGTGTGTTGAACAGTGTGTACTCAACTCTCTTTTGCCCATTTCAGGTAAGAGGGCAGTCAAATGTTTGTTAATGTTTGCTGCTCCCCTATGCTTCCTCCGTGTTTGTATACTTTTCTTCTCATGCACCTCAACAATTACAATAAACCGCCAGTTCCACATTCTTCTATTTCTCCTACATTAGCATATTCCTTTTTGCTCCTCCTTCACCTTTGCAGACCCTCAGAACAGAACCAACCTCCTCCCAAGGACTCTGTTTTTCCTAACTCCCTCAATACCCTTTGAGGTTCTGAAGGGGCACTTGTTTCTTCTCATCCATTATGTTGGCACTGCATCATTATACAGCCCCTTCTTCCAATTACTCAAATAAATTTACCTTTCAAAGTTTCTCTTGATTCTTGTGTTTGTATGTCAAAATTCCTACTTGGTTCTGGTGTTCTCATGAGATGCTTCAAAGTTCTTTTACTGTTGTTCAGTTGTCTGAGTTGTGTCCAACTCTTTATGACTCCATTTAAAAGTTCATTTTCCCTGTTGTAGAATTATACTCAGTTCTATAAATTATTTTTGGTTGTAAGCTGATGGATGGATGGATGGATAGACGGATATAGACAGACAGATGAATGAGATATTTTGCCTTTGGGAATATTGTATTAGATAATTTTTGTAGAAGCCAAGTATTCCATGTTCTGACTGTAGTTTCTTCATACATGAACTGCTTTTTAATGGATGCTTGCGGTATTGTTTTTTTCTTAGATGTGGGAGCTTTAAATTTTTGCTATGACATTCCTGAAACTTTCCCTTTTAAAGTTTCTCTTAGGAAGTTATCAGTGGATCTTCAGTTTGCCCTCTGGCTCTAATAGATCTAGACAGTTTTCATTTATGATTTCTCAAAATACAGTACTCAATATTTTTTAATACTAATTTTCAGGAAGTCCAATGATTCTTAAATGATCTCTCAACCTTTTTTCTAGGTCAAATGTCTTGATCTATTACATTTTCTTTTTGTTCTCATATTTTCACTGATTCATTGTAATTTACTTGTTTGCTCTAATCTAGTTTTCAGAAATTCCATTTCTTGGGTAAGGTTTGCTATTTTCTCTTCTATACTATGGATTCTTCTAATTGTTTCCTTCAGAGCTTTTATTCCATTTTTTATCTTTTATTCATATTTTCTAGGTATTCATGTGGTCCTTCTAGAAAACACTTTTTCCTTGGAGTCATTATTTGCACTTGTTACAAAAATACTTTTTCTTTTTAGGGGATTTCTATTTACAATAATTTTTTATATTGGTTGGTTTTCTTTGTTTTATTCAGCTCTCCAACTTTAGATCCTAAGTTAGGACTTTCTGCCAAGTCCAGGCCCCACTCCATATTATGCTTTTGTGTAGGGTGGGGTTGGCCCTTTTTGGTTTAATTCTGGGTCCCCTCAGTTCCTTTGCTGGCCTCAACTGCCTAGGGTTAGACCCCTTCTGGAGCTTTCAGGTTCAGAGTACTGTTTGTTAAGGGCCCTCTTTGGCTACAGGATGCCAGAGATAACCCAGGCACCTGGGTTATCCTAGTCAGAGTGCTGCCATACTGATTTGAGCAATGATGGCTGGTACTGCTATGCTGCTGTGGCTGTTGTCACATCTGCACTGGTCATCAGGACTCTCACTATGGATTTACAAGCATCTTAGCCCTTGATTCTCAGCTTGTGGAAAAAGTTCTTATCCTGAATCATGAATTTATCTGCATAAGAATTCTCAGAAGCAGTTAATTTTTTTTTTATTTCTTAGATCTTTTTTTTCCTTATTTGCCAGAATAAGAGAAAAGAACATAAGAGTAAAGCAAATAACAATAAAAATAACTTTTCAAATTGGATCTGAATAGCAAATATAGTGTTTGGGCAGTTTCTTATAAAAAGTTTATTTCTAACTGAATTAACTAATTATTATTTTATTAATAACGGATAAATCTCATGTATAGATAGAAACAGACTTTTGATGTCATCTGTTCACACACAAAGGTTTAATATAATAGTTGGCTAACTTTTCTAGGGATTCTATCATGTTATAATTTTTATTTCTTGCCCTTGTCCTTCCACAGAGAGAAGATGGGGGTATGAGACACTAGCTTTTAATTTTTTGCATTTCTCTTATTTGAAATTTGTCCTTTTGGGGTCTTAGCAGTGAAACGAAGGTGATTTGAGTAATTTTCTCCCTGAAAAAGTCAAATCCCATTTTCTGCAGACTTGAATTTGTCTATAGAACAAGTATTTTTCTGTCTTCTCATAGATTCTACCTAGGTTGAAAGTAAAAGGAGGCAAAGACATTGCTATCATAATGAGTAATAGTTTAGGGCTAATTTGAGGGGTTGGTTACATCCCATCCATGCCCCAGAAACTTTAGTAAAATAGTAGTGAGGAGGTTTCCTGGCACAGAGTCTACAGTTATTCTAGTGCCCTCCCTATGTTAGGCTCAAAACATAGCAGAAAACCTTTATTATTCCTTCAGTTCATTGTGGCTTGATACTTCATTATCCAGGGAGTCCCTGAGGTCTACTGGGTCATGCATGGCATTTCCAAACTGTGTGAGAAAATACAGCTCCAAGCAGTTACCCAATTTATGAAATGTAACAGGACCTAATTGAGTCAGGCATGGACTTCTTTGCCAGAGCAACAGCTCAAGCCCAGATGGTCCTCTGGTTTAGGTGTCAATTATTGAGTTCATGTCTTTTTCTCTCCAAATAAAGTGACTATTCCTTAAAAGAGACAATGTCCAAGGATCAGAGGTTACTCGGTAGCTGATAGAGAACTATGTAACTCAGAACACAGCTCCATCTATCTAAACTCAAGGGTCACTGGCCAACAAGCTTTGCCTTGTTCCAGATGTAACTTGCATAATGGGAAAAATCCCCCTTTGATATTTACTGGTGGCTATGCTATCTCCTGGAAGTCTGCTCCTTGCACTTAAGTTCAAGCAAATCTTTTATGGGAGCCAAAAGATTTTTAAAAAGATGCCAAGAGTCAAAAAGTGGGGACAACTTACTACAATTGTCATTCCCTTGCTACCATTAGTGGGACTTGTCTTCTCTAACACTTAGCAGCACAAGGTCTCTAAACGGAGTTGGGGTTGGCTAATCCTTGGTCTTAAATAACTATGTTTTTTCCTTTATCATCACTTTAAACTTTTTCCTCCTTTCTTTCTGCTTCCCTCTTTAAAAAGAAGGGGGTAGAGAAATAGGAGGAATTTAATCACGATCAAGACAAATAATCTATAAATCAAGTAGTCTGTTTTTACATCTCTGCTCCCTTGTGCTATGATTAGAGGTATACAGAAATACACATAATTCAAAGTAAAATGAGATATGGCAAAGGACAACTCCAAAATACTCTAGGAAAGTATGGGGAAGAAGTAACTTTGAGCTTGAGGATGGGTAGACAGGGAATCAGTAAGGCCTTCATGGAAGCTGAGCCTTAAAGGAAGAGGATTTAGAGAGGTAGAAAGGGGCAAGTCAAGTAAAAGGCAGGACAAGACTGGGGAACTGCTCAATGCCAGACCCCAAACATGAAACTAAGTAAGACTATACCAGTTAGGTAAAAAAATTAATGGAGAAGCCAAAATAAAGAGTACACTTTGTACATCAAATTAATGGGTTTATTTTCATCTTAATTAACAACCATTTAGCTGAAGTTCAAAACAGACCTGACACATGGACATGGATACAATTTAAATAACAAAAAAAAAAAAAATGAACTATATACACAAATAAAGTAAAAGTATGATTTTTACATAATCAGCCTGTTTATATTTTGCAGTTCTGGAAAACTATATGTGCTACACTAAGTAAATAACTACAACTAAACATTACCTTTTCAATTCAGATTTACAATGAAATAATACAATAACATTGTGATCGACAGCTTAGAATTGGGCAGATAATAGTTTTTCAAGAAGAGTCACAAAACAAATTAGGCAAAGAACTTGCTATGTATTCTGTAGGCTTTTTTTTTTTAAAGGATCTTACACATCAGTACAGTTGATAAAGGACAAAAAATAAATATTTACTTTGAAATACAAACTTAATTAAAAATACCATTCAAAACTAAAGGTAGAGAAGGAAAGCTATACACATATTAGCCCAAATTAATTTTTAACACACTCCTATTCTTGACCTGATGGATAAAAATATGACAAACTCTAATTAAAAAGATATTTAATGTAATTTTTAAAAGTCAGGGCTGCTAGTACAACTACTGCTTTTTCTTCCTGTGGCAAGGGGGAAATGCTCATTTTAATTAAGTTTTGTACAATAATTTGTTTCATCAAACTTAAGGTTGGTTATCAGTATCAAAGCTAGAATTGCCCCTTTCACAATCTTCTTTGTAAACAGCCTTAACAAAACTTTATTTTAAGTAAATAATTCTAAAAGGATATGGAAAAGGAATACAAGATTTCAAGAACCCTTTACTGATGTGAAGAACAAGCAATTCCAGGGTACAGAGTAAAATTTACCAGCTTTCCCCAGGTAAAAAGACAGAAACAAAGGATAAAACCCACAGTTTTTCAAAGTGGGCAAGAATCATGGTTTGTGCGGAGGCAAGACTGCAGCAATTCAACAAGCATGGACCATCAGAAGCAAAGGGTTTCATGGATGATGAAAAAATACACACACCAAAAACTTCTTAAAATAAAATCCATCCCAACTAGGCACAGATTCAAAAAATTAATTCCCACCACAAATCTGGGGGTTAAAAAACTCAATAGAACAGTACTGATATCATTAGCAACAGGCAGAGTTGACTTGAACTGAAGTTGCAGAGAACTCATATCCCCCCAAGCAGCTATGCCACAAACTACTTCACCACCTGCAAAATAAGAGGAGCTGTTCACCCTGCTCCCAACACCCTGATGAATGGACAATCAAGGGACAAAGAGGCAATAACATAAAATGGTTTTTATTACAATACAAAAATTAAGCCTTTTTTTGTGCCCCATATTTGTACCTTTGGAGCAAGTTTATAACACTATGGCATTAGCAACATTCCTGAGAATATGAACAGCAGATAGACATGTGGCAGAAAGGGGCTTTCTTGCCACTGTCAATATCCTTTCCGAGGAATGTGAAAGTCTGAACAAACTTCTGCCCCAATTCAATTAGAATTTCAAAAGCAACAAGCTTTATTACAAAGTTGAATCTTTAAGAAGGAGGGAACCTAGTCAGCTATCTCACTTAGGATATGGTTTAATTTCTATGTGCAAAAAAAATTTATAACATATCACTAGTCAGATACTGAATCACGCACTCTTTTAGATGCCACTAACTTAAAATGCTAAGTGGCATAAGTTTCTATAAAGGTCTGACACAAAGACCTCTAATAATGATAAACGGCTTAGATGGCTAAATGGAAACATAGCTGATGTGGTGTGATATGAAGAATGAGTTCTATAATTTGGCATTCAGCTTTATGAAACAGCTCTATGCTCATCAGCTGCTGATTACTCAATTAGGTAAAAGGAGGGAAAGATGAAAGGTAGACAATGGACACCAATTAAAATAAGAGTATGATATGAGTCTCTGAAGTAGAAACAAGTGGCTAATGAATGATCAAATGAAGCTTGGAAAATCTGGGCCTTGCCAATAAGAATTTTTTCATAATAATTAATAATAAAAATAAAAAGCCTCCAATGAATTTGCTTCCAGGTTCCAGAGACACCTAGAGCCATTGTTCTATATTTAAGTGTACCAGTAGAGAAGACCCAGACCTGGGGAGCTTTATTTTTGGCAGTTCTGCAATTTCTTCAATACATCACTGTATTCTTTTTCCCTGGGGAAGGCCTAGGGCCTGTCATCATGTCCTTCATTCTACTAGGCTGTGAATAAAAACAGGCTTTTTACACCAAGCCATGTGAAACAGATGGGCCTGCTGGGAACAGGACTCAACCACCCTTCCCACCTATGCACCTTACAAGTGGGAAGAGGCCACTTAACTATGCCAATGTCTTACCTTTTATTCTTTTAGGATTATTAGATTCAATTACTTGATTAAGATGACTGTGAAACCCAAGAGCTCACATACTCTAATGGTCCCGAAAAGCTGTGTCACAACACAGGGACTTTCTTGAGAGAAGACATGTGGCTCAGCTAACCTTTACAGACCCTCAGAAATTCAGCCCAACCTTATCAAATGTGAGAAAACAAAAAAAAAAAAACCTAGGTTTATGACATTTAAGTTTGGACCATAAACTCTGTTTACAAACACCCCAGGTAATCGTTTTTAAAATCAGTTCTCCTTACTGTCAGGTATTGTTGACAACCTCAGGACATTTTCACAGCAATCCACGTAAGACTGTCCTGAGAAATATAGTACATATCATATATATATTGGATGATACTGTTTCTGGTTCAGCTTTTTCCGGCAAGTTGGGCAGGAGCTAGCATTTCTAAGGGCATCACGGAGGCATTGGCTACAGAAGACGTGACCACATTTTGTAGAGACTATAAGTCGTCCACTTTGCAAAATCTAGAAAAATAGCAAACAGATAAATTCATGAAGCTAGGTCTCTACAAGATAGCTATGTTCTTCATACTTAAAAACATTCTCAATATTTTATGCTGGTGGTAGTTAGCTAAACAATAGGGCAACAGTTTTGTTACTGATAACCAACCACGGGGACTTGTAGGTTCAGGAGACATAAATTCTAGTAACAGTATATTCTTGGACAAGTCCTTTCTGTGTCTCAGCTTCCCCACCTATAAAACAATGGGACTGGACTAAATTATGGGTAAGGAGGTCCTTTCTTCAACGGTTTTCAGTCTTTGAAAATATCTATAATGGGATCCTTTGGAGTAAAAACACCAATAAGACCATAATCTTAAGGCTTGCCCTAGAATTCTCCATTTTGGCTGGTCTAAAAGAGGGTTCTTCAGCAAAGATGTCATCCTTCTCTTAACAGTGTAACAGTAGAGCTGACATAATCAATTCTAAGCTGGAATTTCTCCAAAGCTATACAGAGACAGTCACCATTTCTATAAAAGGCCAATACAATATAAAAGGATTTCCTTAAAATCTTCAATCTTTTGTACCAGGTATCGAGTATTGAACACATAGTGAAAACATAACTAAAAAATTCACGCGGAGTAAAGGACACTGAATACTGTTTTTTCAATAAGAGTACTTGCAACTTGGGCAGAGAGTAATTTAATTTTGCTTTATGATAGTTCCAGGTGTCTTAGGATCAGACTAAACTGAAAGTGAGTAATTTTATTTCTAAAGAAAAACCTTCCCTCTAATCTAATTCTTTTACTGAAGCATTTTTTTGGGGGGGGGTGGGGTTATTTATTAGATGACAAGCTTAGTTTTCTTACCTCTGAGTATCCATCCATGCAAATTGGACAACTAACAGTACCAGAAGGCCTAAAAACACAATGATTTGGATCAGTTTTACAACAAAAAGAAAAAAAAAACCCATTACTTGGTAGTTGATACTTTAAATAACCATTTTCCCCCAAGATGATAAAATAGCTATAGAATTTGTATAATACTTTAAAGTTTATAAAATGCCTTACATAGTGTATATATAGAAAATAAAATGTAACTATATATATTCTATGTATATAGAAATTTTTTAAAATTTATTTTCTTTCTCTTCCTCTACATAGGACTCCTTCAACCCAAAGAAAGTTTCTTCCATGGGAAATATTTAGTGAAGCAATAATAAGGAAGTAAAAGGATTTGATTAAGAAAATTCATTTACCCTTTAATCAATTTCAAATTATTCATGGCTTTTTTCTTCTACTATAAGTTATCCACATCCCATCTAGGCTGAACATAGAATCTGAAATAATGGAAACTACCTACTATTTGATCACACTACAATGTGAAGATTTGTTCCTTATGGGAAACAAATATGTTTCACTTAAGCCCCCGAGTAGAAAATCTATTTTGTAATTTAAAATTAAGAAAAGGTATTTATAGAATGCAAGAAGACAATACTCCTCTTGGGATCTGTTTTCTCCTCTATAAAATGAAGGAGTAGGACTAAATACCCTTTCACAGAGATCACATTTATAGATTTGGAAGAGATATGTGTACAAAACAACTTCTCTTTTCATACATGTATGGACAGAGCAAGTTCTATATCATTTAATTTACAGGTTATCCTCATTCCCCCATGATCTTAGGTCTCCTTTTGATTCCTGGTCGAGAAGGAAAGGCCCTAAGGGGATCACCAGCAATGAGTAGCAACAGTGTGCTTGGCATAATAAATGGAAATGAGTGGCTCAGATAACCCTCTGGTCGACACAAATGTTTTCCCAAGGCTTTTCTAGGGTGGGGTGAAGTTTGAAGACAAGGACAGAAGGTCATGCACATGGAAAATATCTACTCTAAGAAATAACTGACCACTTCTTTAATGGTGACTCAAATTAGTTGTTTATAGGAATTTCAACTCTAACAATAGGAAAAAAGGCTAAGGATAGCTGATTAAAAATCTATCCTCGAGCAACTAAAAAACAAACAGCAAGAAGCTGTACTTACTTTATATACCATTAAATAAAACTCAGTTTTGATCTGATGTCCTTCTCTTTATTAGATTAATACATAATTTCAGAACAGCATCATAAATTCACTTTCTCACGTGATCAGTGCAAGTAGGGTCTTGATAAGTGTGGCTTAACAAATCCTACTCTAATAAAAGTAATCCCTTTCAGTTTTAGTTTCTTAAAATACAAACTAGGCACAACTCACAATCATCTTTTATAGCTCACCCTGGAAGTCTAAGGTTTTTCTAAAACTACCACAGAACAGTAATACATTTTTAGCAAGCAAGGTAATGGGACAAAACCCCCATAAAAATACATGCAAAATCCATACATCACTTATGAAAGAATTAGCCAACAACCAATCAACAAACATTTATTAGCACCTACTACGTGCCAGGTACCATACTGGTGATACAAGTACAAAGAATGAAACAATCTCTATATGTGAAGAATTTACATTCCAAACAGAGGAGACAAGCACAGACAGTTCTCACTTCAAGTTCTGCAGATCCCTACTAAATTTGCCCCCACCTACCTATTTTATTTAGCCTAAATAACAAAGGTATACATATACAAAAGAATACCTTTATGCAAGTCATAAGATACACTATAATGCAGACACATCAAACATGATTATTAACATGACAATAAACAGAACTATGAAATGAAAGG